ATGGAGGCCTCACCGGCGTAACGCGCCTGACGTACCAGATGCCTGGCGTTGTTCAGCTCCTTAACAACCTGTTGGCCCAGGCCGCTCCGGCTGCTACGTGGACCACCTTGGCCCTTTTCTCTTCGCCCGCAGCGGGGCCGCATGTTGATAGGCGCAACCTCAAAGGGTCCTGCAATCATGTTTTACCGCTGGCATTGCCCCCGGGCGAGCAATATATATGGGTGCAACATCCTGTGGCTGCATCGTTGCAGTCTTTGGCATGGTTAGGTGACCATGGCCAGTTTCCGGCTGCCTCTTGCTGTTGGTCACTGTGTACAGATGCATGCCTTGCCGGAACCTTTGCCCGAGTCCAAAGCCGCGCCTTATGTTGTGCTGGTTGGCTACTCCGTGCCTTGGAGTGAGCGAGCTGCTCCTGATCAGCTTCAGTCTCTGCAAGCCTGTGGGTTTCGACTGCCTTTCAGTCGAGGGGGAGTCAGTGCGGAGGTCAGCCAAGGGGTTTCTGATCTTGAGCCAGCCAATGAGGGATTTGGTCCAGGGGGAGTTAGTGCTGAAGGGCTCAGTCCAAGAAGAGCCAGAAAAGGCACAAGGTCTGAAATTTGTGCAGCCAATGAGGGATTTGGTCCAGGGGGAGTTAGTGCTGAAGGGCTCAGTCCAGGGGGAGCCAGGGAAGGCACAAGGTCTCAAATTTCGGCGGATAAAGTGTGAAAGTGAAGGTCCAGGACTGTTGGAAGTTGGCATGATTGCGGAGGGTCATAGGCAGTTGAGCTCTAGCGCCTTTGGGGCAGGGACTGCCTCCACTCGCATCGACCAAGACGTGCAAGCAGACACTGCCGCCGAGGGCAGCGTTACGGGTCGGGGTGCCTATGCAAGAAGGTTGGAAGCTAGGAGAACCTGCCAACTGGGATCGGGTGAAGCAGTACCTTATAGGCCTTGGGTTGGAACATCTGATAGGACCCATAGATGCTCTTGGGGTGGATGACCTTGAGGATTTCGAGTTCCTGTACCGAGAAGACTTCATGGAAGCCGGTGCAACCAAGCAAGAGGCCGAAGCTATCCTTGGATGCACAGGCTCGGCTAAGGAAGGAAGATCAGATCCTCCGCCGTTAGAGCGGGACATCACAGACCAAGTCGGCCGGCGGCGCAAGGGTTTCAGGGTCCGGCAGTTGCGGCCAGAATCGTGAATGCGAATGATCGGGCCAACCGGATACGAGGTGCAGAGGCCATCCCAGGCTTGCCAGGTGCACCGGCAGGTGCCCAAGGTGCAGAGGGCATGCCAGGCGTGCCAGGTGCACAGGCAGGTGATGCGAGGTGCTCCGGGGGAGATTGCTTGACTCGCGCTCAGGGAGAACCTTTAAGGAAGGAGGTGTCCGCGAAGTGAGTCTCCGTGTTGCCCAGGGTGAGGCCCACGTCGAAGAGGTTGCTGCCGACCCGCCAGGTCGGCAAGATGCTGGAGGGGAGGTAGTTGCCCCTTCCGCGTTAGGCATGCCTTTAGGCGGGCGGTATGAACTTGAAAGCAGTCAGGAGCCGTGTGCACCCTTAGCCTTAGGGTTTAGACCCCAGTGTAGTCTCCCAAGTAGTCGCCCAGAACCTGAGGTTTCGGAATGCCGGTTCGATCGGGGCAGTGCCGATGAACCTGAGTCACCCGAGTCCCTAGGGTTTAGACCTGAGTCGCCCAAGAATTGTAGGGGGAAAGCCTGAGCACATGGCCCCTAAAGCCTCCTCAGAAGCCATGCCACCCGGGGATGCTTCGGTGTTTAGTCTGCTCGTTGCTATTCTCGCTTGTAAGATAGTTGGGGAACCAGAACACGGGCAGGACACAGCCCTAGTGGAGGAGGACCTCCCGGTTAGGGTTGACCCTGAGAGTAGTCGTGGGGTGGAGGTGAGATTGGATAAGGCTTTAGTGGAGTTGCGGAAATTGTGTGACCAGCAACGCCGGATTGTGCTGGAGGAAGCGGAGAAGGGTTCCGACTGTGCACTGGAGACTCAGGAACTGCACCGGTTGGGTCATCGAGAGAACGACCCGCCGCTCCAGACAAAAATAGTCTCCACGGAGGAGGTGCTCAGGGACGTAGAAGGGTGGTGGAATCCCATGCTTGCCGAATATCAGGCATTGGTACATGAGAAACGGGTGGTCGTCCCAGTTTCAGCCGAAACCTTGGCGGCCAGGGAAGCGGCAGGCGAGCGCTTTCAGGTCATTCCGGCCAAATTGATCTTTACGTTAAAAGCATTTACGGCACGACGCAAAGTGCGGTGCGTCGGGTGCGGGAACTACCTGGGAGCCGGGGAATATACGGCCGCCCAGCTCTACGCCGGCGGCGTAGATGTCATCTCCCTACGCTGCTCTTTGGTCCTCATGGTAGATCAAAGTTGGTTTGCAGTAGTAGCGGATATAAAAACCGCTTTTTTGAACGCGGAACTACAGCCAGAAGATCTGGGCGCCAAGAAGGTGGTGATCCGCGCGCCGGGGTTGTGGCGTCGACTGGGGATTTGCGAAGAATCCTTCTGGGACGTTCATAGGGCGATGTACGGCCTGGCCATCAGCCCAGCGGCCTGGGCGAGATGCCGCGACCGCAAGCTGCCGAGTCTTCGGCTGGAGACGTACCTTGGGCGGATGAAGTTCTTGCAGTTTAAGTCGGACTCCAACATCTGGGCTATTGTGCCGGAGGATGCGGAAGATTGCTCCTAGTGTACGTCGATGACATGATGGTGCTGGGATTGCCTCGACTGATCACTGAGGTCATCGCTGAGCTTGGAAAGACGTGGGAGCTGTCTTGCCCGGAGTTCCTGGACGAAGGGAACCTTCACTACAGAGGGGTGGAGATCCAGCGTTGCAACGGTGGAGTGCTGGTGCACCAAGGGGCGTACACTCAGGAGTTGCTGTCAAGGTATCCTGACCTGGGAGGAGCCGACGTTCCGGCGTTGAAGCTGGCTGAGGCTGCACCGCTACAACCTCAAGACCCTGGAACAGTGAGGCGAGCGCAGCAAATTGCTGGAGAGTTGCTGTGGTTGGCAGGTCTCACACGCCCGGAAATACAGTTCAGCGTCGGAGCGATCTCCCGCATGATCTCCATCAATGCAGAGGAGGCCTTGGCCATGGGAGACCAAGTGCTGAAGTACCTCCGACGGCACTCCACTAGGGGGCTCTGGTACAGCGCAGCCTCGATGACGTGGGGTGGGGAGGGGGACCTTCAGGTCCCGATGGGACGCAATACACTGGTTGGTTTTTGCGATGCCAGCTTCGCTCCGACAGCCCAGCGATCCACACAGTCAACGATGACCTTCGTCAACGGAGCCTTGATAGCTTGGTCGTCGACTCGTCAGAGTCACACCACGCTATCGACTGCAGAAGCAGAACTCGTTGGAATAACGTCGATGTTTGGAGAGCTTCAAGCGCTGGAGCCGCTGGTAACCGAAATCCTGGGCTCCTCTCCGGCCATACAGATGCACTCAGACAGTCAAGCGGCCATCGCCATCTGTACTACTTTGTCGTCTAATTGGCGCACCAGGCACTTGCGCTTGCGAGCGTCCTATATCAAAGAAATGCTTGAATCAGGGAGATACGGCTTGCACCACGTCAGCGGCGCCAGCATGAAGGCAGACATTGGCACGAAGCCGTTACCGGCGCCGAGGTTCCAGCAGCTGGTTGAGAGCCTGGGAATGACGGAGCCGGTATTGGGAGTAGCAAAAAGGGTTCAAGTAGTCGACGGCACCCTGGATGAACGGGTTCGGGCCCTGCTTACTTGCCTGGTTGTGGCAAGCTTGCTGAGCCCAGCAGAAGCCGATGACCACGGAGATGGCGACAATGGGGCTCTCGGAAGTCAGAACTGGCAGTTTCTTGTAGGGTTGATTGTAGTTACGGTTTGTTGTTGGGAAGGGCTTAAGTTTTTAGTTTACAGTTGCTGTAGGGGATGCCGTTGTATAGTGCTGCGTTATAGGGGAGATAGTCAGTCTGCGCCTGCTGAAAGCGCTGGGGTGCATGTGGTCCGATACGTCGATGATGTCGTTATGATTGGTCCGCCTGCAGCTCTGGGACGGCAGCTGGATACTACGACTGGGGAGGTGGAAGAGTTGACCGCCTTTGAAAGGCCAGGAGCCCCACCTCCGGTGTCCTCGCAGCAAGCGTCCTCTACTGGACTGAGACGAAGGGCTCGAAAGCAGGACTTCGTTTTCAATAACGTGGAGTTTGAGTCGTGGCCGGCCGTTTTGAGTATGTCCTTGAATCCTGTGGGCCAGGACAGATATGAATACCGGCCGGGGCAGCGCACCGTTCTTAGATGGCACTTGGACGCTCGCGTCCGGTTGTTCTGTCCCCACAAGACGTGTGCTCCCGTGGCCCTGGAGAAGTTCACCGGAAGGAGAAGAACCTGGGTGATAGACGTGACGTCTGGTTCCACACGAGGTCGTAGACTACATTTGGACAACTGGTGCGCGACCTTGGATGCCCAGCAGTACTTGCCCTATGCCTGGATTGGCTGCACGGAACTGGAAGTTCAGCCATGAGAGTTTGGCTCTGGCGAACCAAAGGGGGAGTGTGTGAATCATGGGATTCGGAGCACTCTGATGCGGTTGCCTGCTTGTGGCTTCAGATCAATCCAGGATGTGCAGCACTTTTAAGTACACTCAGGACAAGATCACGATTTCCAGGAGTTTGCAGGTAGCTACCGACTTCGAAGCTTTGGACTTTCGTTGTTCTCCGCGTAAAAAGGGCGTGTTGCTCTTCACAGTCATAATAGACTGTAGTAGCACCACCAGCACCGCCACCACCTCATGAGATTCCACCCATACGAGATCCTTTCAGAGCCACCGAAGCGTAGCATCAGCATCTGGTTCCCAGGTCCATTTCAGGTTTGCCTTCTGCAATTTTGGCTGGGTAAGAAACAGCCCTATATAACCCTTATATAACCCTTATAGTAGTTTCCATTTTCTTTTCCATTATCCCCAATATAACCCCAATATTACCCCATTATCATAGGTTGTCATTCTCCGAGTCTGAAAGCGAGGTAGCCTCATTCCACTGGAGTCTGTCGAACTTTGCAACGGCTACAACTCGCATCAATGCCGTCAACATGTGGGAGCCTTCCTTGCAATTCAAGTTGAACCAGATGTGGGGGTTTCCCAAAATTAGGGGTATAGGGGATACTACGGTACCCCATATTACCCCAATAATGGAGAATGGAAAAGAACATGGAAAATGAAATGGAAACTGGGATTATATGGGGGATTATAGGGTTTAGGGTTTCCTAAAACTAGGGGTACCATTTTGGGGGTCCCTATAATAAGGGTTATAATACATTGGGATCTATATTGGGGTCCCCCTATTCTTGGTTACATTGTAAACCATCTCGCAGCAGGGTTGCAATACTCACAAAGCGTCATGATGAGCATCAACATACACATCTGGGTGTGCCTGAGCATGGGAGAGAGTGCCGCGGTTAACAGTTTATTTTGGTGAAGGGGGAACTGACATGAAGTGGGTAATTTTCATGATGCACAACATCAGTGCTCAGGACAGATGTTCCTTTGGAAATACGTCCGGCTTTGAAGATTTAATTTCAAGGTTTCAGAGTCACTTGTCGACAGAGATCGTAAAAGGGGGCTACTGCCACTGCTGCAGTGTTCCTACGCCCACTGCTGTCGTCGCGAGTACTGCAGAGTTTTCAGACTTTGGGGACTATTTCAGGGAACAGTTTCAGAAAACAGGCTCCCGTCTGCTAGGATCTTTGAAGAGGATTTGAGGGGTTGTCTGAGGTGTATGTTTTTTCAAGCGCTTCATGTGGGCAACTATTGGTATGGAGTTATGATGCTAGTTCGCGCAAAAACGAGGGTGTCTCAACAGGCATGCGCCCAATGTGGATGGTGTTGTGAACACTGACACCTGATCTCCCGACATGAGAAGCGTTCGAATGGTTTCTCATTGGCATAGCGAGAGCTTCAAGCAGTTGATGATTCGATGGTCCCCAAGCACTACATACGACAATTTTCACATTCGTGACAAAAGCCAAAGTGAGGGAGGTCGTAAGCCTTTGGAAGCCTCCGCTTCGTGTCACACAGTAAGGAGCACTTCTTCGCCATATTCGTGCTCTTTGCAGGCCTCGTGTCTTTTGCGAGCAGCTCCTGGAATGCATGGGAGTTTCATACATTTTGGGGTACCTGGGTAGAGTACTGGTTTTCCCTTAGTATATATACATAAATAGAGATAGGGGCCTATATTGGGGTCTGTGTATTTATGAAAGCTACCATTTATCACGAGAGCTGGCTTGAGCACGAGTGCCTGGAGATTGCCAGAAGATGCCCACGTCTACATATTCTGAAGTCCACTGCCAGGACCTAGACAGTCTACTAAAACAACAACAGGCAAATAGCCGTGCCATCTGTTGAGCAGAGGTCTTTCTGCAATCACGTCCGCTGTCACGGACTATAGAGCGCTGGAAGTGGACACCCTGCAGAATGACGCTGGGTGAAATTCTTGAAGTGATGGCTTTTTTTTGCCACTAAAGTAGTAAGGCTTCAATTCTCTCCTGCACCTTGTCAGATGCGCGCACTGAGCACTGACTGCCTGCATACATAGGACTTCTTGTGGTTGCTGTAACTGCAGGGTTGGTCGCTGAATATTGCAAGGATTTACGATTGCAAAGCATTTCGGGCCCCCTTCTTCCGGGGTCTCTACTGCACATGTCCCAATCTTCATCTAGCATGAAATACATTTCGGGTCAAAGCTGTCAGAATTGGAAGCTCTGAAACCCAAATTCAGCAAGTCAGATTGGCTTTTGTGTTCTTGGTTTGACCCAAAATGCAATCTAGAACCTGCAGCTTCTGAAACCAGCCCATGCTAGGAGAAGAAGCTGCGAGCATTCTTCGGTGACCGGGGGATCTCACCTGCCATGTCCAGCAGAATCTGGGAGTTTGTGCGGTCGCGACGACGCTTGGAGATTCTAAGGATGTCGGCAATGATGACTAGTCATGATAAAACGACCCATCGCTACATGGCTAACCACAATTTCAAGCCAGGACCACAATTAAAGTAACATGATCGTGAAATCTGATCTTGTCAGAAGCCACCTTTCCAGGTAGGAATTTTCGTTCAGCTTTTCTGCCAATGTGTTTCCGTTCTTGCGATTGTGACTTGACAGCGTGATGTTGCGGAGTTCTGCGCAAGTCGCGGACTGAGTCGTCTCAAAGCAAAGGAGCAGAACATGAGCAACCACGCTAGATTGCAAAAGGCGGAAGGTGACGAAAAGAATAACCAACATGGCAGCAAATGCTGAATCTGTCTTTCCACAGCAAGCTAGTGTAACGAGAGCCCAGCCAGATCGTTCAACTTCTGAATTCCCTGCACATGCCATTACAAGCCTAGATCTTTCCTTTTTCAGCTCAAAGCTGAGGACGGTCTCGGCCAAAATTAACAGAAGCCAACGTCAAGCTCTTGATCGGCCTGCCGAAAATACTTCGCATTGAGCTGCGGAAGGTGGCTTGGCCACCAGGGTTCCAGATGGCTTGTTGCAGAAAGGTCTGGGCTCTTAGGAAGTTGTACTGGTAGTAAACGTGCAGGTGAGAAGTTGGTTTCCAAAATTCTCCCCAATAATCAAAGTGTGGACGCCTCGCAACCGGATTCATGAGTTGGCCGTATCACCAGCACATTTGCGGCAGTGTTGGGCGAGGGTCTAGACCGCCAAGGATACGAGTGCAAGTTGTTGCTCCATGTTGCTCCAGGCTCTCCAGACTAGGCCACACTTATCTACACTCTACACAGGTATTCTGGTAGAGCTGGGAGCAGCTGGACCCAGCTGGGACCTCGCCTCAACCTGAAAGCCGCAAGGGCAACAGCAACGAAACATAGTATTTTCGAAAGACAGAAGCACGGCATATCACGGAGATTGCAGGAATAGTGGCAGACTAACATCAGCAATGTCAATAATGATCCAGGAGGCTGGCCTCGTTAGGAGGGGCTCATCCACTGAGCAGTAGAAGTCACGTTTTGCGGACCCATCTTGCGCCATAAAGGCTCGGTTTTCTGAGCCTCATTTGGGGCCTCAAAGGGACCTACCTCCTCTTGAGAGTCAGGGTTCATACAAGGTCCTAGGGCAGCTTATCTTCTTCGGGAGCCTGGAGACGAGCCTTCTGTTCTGTAGGATGGAAAATACGACTTCTCAGGCAAAGCAGTGCCAGTCAGGATGATCAGGGGCTTTTGAGCTTTCAAAGTTGGAGCCTGCTGAGGACGTGTTCCTCCCGCATCTTCAGACGCACCCCTTGTTCCAAGGACTCTGGGGGCAGCCTGGCAGTTGTCAATATTCCATGGGGTTCGTTTCACACTGATGCAATGATGTAATCTTTGCCGATTGCCCGCCTGCCTGATGAGCTGAGCACCTAACTGAAGCGAAGGGTTTTGTGCAGCAATATCTTTGGCGAGTCACTATGTAATTGGACTGTGGACCGACCCATGACAGTTGTGGAAGCCTGGGCAAGCCAGAATGCAGGACTAGAGTTAGCAGATCCGCACGTGATCAGCAGGCTTTGTGACCGAGGCCTGATGCATCCATGGGTGCCGAGTGTAATTGCTTTCCTGCCACTCTGATAGCCTACTGTTGCCAGGAATCGAGTTCCGTGGTGCGCCTCCTATGGAGGATGTGTTTAATCGAGCAGAGAAGGCTGCTCACGTGTGCCATGGCTGGCAGGTGACAATTGAAAAAATGTCCTTGCAGCGGCAAGGTGACTGCTGTGCAGAATCTAGAAGCTTGCTTCTTGATGCCAAGGTACTATGTGATAGGCGGGCACCTACAGTATTATTTCCAGCGCCCTCAAGCACGCCGGGCAATTTCTGGAGCCATCGATGTAAATGCCGGCGAGCAGCTCTGGCCGCAACTCAGACAGGAGACGATCACGAATCCAATGCGACTAGTGGCAGAGAGTTGTAGTTATCAGCACGTAGGGTCTGAACGGCCTGTGCTGTCAGACGTTGGGAGGGCGTCTCAAGAGGGTGGGCTCTTTTCCATACGCATTGTGAAACAATGAAAGCTGAGCACGCCCATGCTTGTGTCAAGGTGGATCTCTGAAGGAGCTCTATGGTTCGAATCGCAGACGCACTAGTTCATGCGAGCGTGAGGCAGGGTTCATTCGAAATACGAATTGAGTGAGACACCGGGTGTCCGTCTTGATGGACATTTGAACATGCAGTAGATCTTGCTACGACTGCTTTGTACAACCGTTGTGTGATATGACCCGAACTCTGAACCGTATGACATTTTGGGGGGTTTGGTGCCATATGAATGCTGGTAACTGGCGAGATGTAGGCTGATGTGACCAGACTTGCACTTGCCTGGTCTGCTTCGCAATTCTCATTGTAAGTCGGGTTTCGAGGGACAAGGAAGCGAAGCATGTATGTGATGTGAAGGTTCGCATGCTGGATGGATACCTTTCATAGCTTCTTAAAGGAAAGCGGGAGCCTCATAAATGTACCCAAAAACTTGAGGAGTCTTGACCTTTCCACAAAACACAGTCTTTGCAAAAGCTGCCATTCGACACGTTCAATGCAACCCTCCCAGCATGATCATCTCGAAGAGCACAAAAAAACAGTCTGCAAAAGACAGCGTGCCAAGCACGCCCTTCCGTGACTCTCGCCGTGTCTAAGCTGCACAGACGCTTGGCACATGGCCAATGAGGTAGACCCAAACAAATGGGCTTGGTTGAGTATGGACACCAAAAACGCGAATTTCTCATTTGGCCAACGATTTCCCGTATGTACAGACCTTCATGCATGCGTACATGCAAGTACATACACGTACGTACACGTACCAATGCAGTCTAGGCACCTGGTGTAAGCCCACCGAAGCATACAGTGAATCCTGCCTCAGTGTGTTTTTTCAGCTTCCTCGCGGCCCCTCTTGAAAACTTCACTTGAGGGGTGCCTTAGGTTGGCACTGAGGGGAACTGTTTTAAACCACCCTCACCTGCGAAACCGGACATCGTATGTCTCAGTTGTATTTACACTGAGGACAACTGGGTCCACTTTGGATGGCTTCGGGCAAAGACGCAGTCAGAGCAGCCTGGTTCAGAGTGGGCCAGTCTCTAACAGGATTCAGCTGGTTCATGTCAGATATTGGACCATCCCCCTTTGGTAGTCTTCCAGCGCTGGAATAGGGTGCACATGGGGCAAGGGTCATCTAAGATGATTCATATCTTATGCTCAAGTCTGGCAGTGGCAAAGACAGATTACATCGAAGTAACAATTTTACAGCAATGGTAAAGCAGTGGTACTGTTACTGCAAGCAGTCACGTAAAGAGCAACGTAGGGGTGTAGGGGTCTGGGGGTTAAGCTTAGCGGCAGAGCGAAGCACAAGGCTTCGCTTCCAAAACTACTCGGACGGGAACTTTGCTAGGAATTACAATGCCATTTGTGTACAGCATGAGTACACGTACTACATAGGCACCTTTCATTGTCTATCAACCCAACCACCTGGCAGCGTTTTCATGTATCCTCAGTAGTTGTATGTGTATAGAGATGAATAGATACATGAATATACACACATATTCATGTGTGAAGAACCTGCAGGGCTTGACCCTCGTCAGGCCATGAAGCCTGCTTAAGAACAACCCGGGGGGAAAACAGCAACAACAACGACAACAACAAAGCACCAATCATGCCACACTTTAGACTTGTATAGCAAGGTGCCCAGGAACCACGTTCTGCTTGTCAGAGCCTTCCCTCGAACTTCCCTAGCCTCCGCGAAATCCTTGGCCGATTTTCTGCTGTGTGGCAAAAAGCAAGCACCGATCGACAGTTTCGACAGTAAATTGTCCCGCTACAGTTAGAAAAATGCGCCATTCACAGGGCTTCATAATTCGTTCTGCATGGTGCTTGGACAGTTCAGCAAGGATATCCGAAACTACCCTTTTAAGGGTTGGGTTATCTCAACCATGGGGGGGTTGCAAGCGCAGTTCTAGCTTCTTGCTGAACCCGCTGCGTACTCAAGAGGTTACTGCTTGAAATCACGATAGAAGGAGTCTCAGAGGGATCCCAAACCACACACCTCCTAAACTTCTTTTGCAGGTTCTTACTCGTCAATGTGGAGGTGTTCCAGATGGTTGCGCTGAAGTCGCCAAGTCCCTACCTAGGACTGCTCCAGCAAGAGTATGTGAGGTAGGATTTGTTTATAGGATTTTGGTGAGGGTGTTAAAGCTTCCTCGGGGATATCCGGGGACATTCAAATTGATGGGTGTTTGTCTTGAACGTGGATGATTTTTAAACAGAGATACTCTTGCAGAACGCCCACGTAGATTTGGCTTGTCTCAAGGTTTAGAGTTTACAGTTAGGTCCTCAGATTTTTGATACATGCCTAGCATAGTTTCAAGCAGCCTCACAAATATTTCCATCCAACTGCCCCTTAGTCTGTGGAAGAAGCCCAATGCATCTGCAAGTAAAGCTCGAGGTTCCAAAGCATCCGGGGCGCCGTCAGAGTATGGATGCGCTGTAGCAAGGTGATATCAACAAGTATCTACTAAATCCTTGTAGTGGAGAAAACAGTCCTGACATGCAAATCCACCTGGCATGGTTAGAGGTTTGAATCTCCATCCCGCCCAAATGATCAAAACTTGAGAGTGCCTATGCCATTGCAGGAAGCACGATCTACAAACAGGCGCCTCAGACTGAATGTTGCTTGCTCCTAGAGGACTTAATATGGGCCAGAGGGTGGCTCTTTTGACTTCCTGTACAGAATATTCTGCTTGTGTTGGGTATAACAGCTGCAGAGTCAGGTCTTTGAGCCCTTTCAGTTGTGATTGCAAGAAGTTCTCCGTTGAACCTGGCCTTGTCTTCAAGAAGCTTTGATGCAAGATTGAGACTCACTGCAGGCATGGGTAAAGCAGATCAAGGACGATGTGCGAAGTCAGGAGGATGGCGTGCCTCGGCTGACAGCGTCCCATACTTTGACACTTCTGAGAAGTATTGGCCTAACAACAGGCTAGTGAAGGACAAGCAGTTTTTGTACTTTTTGCGCCAAGGGGGATGCCCAGCGCTAACAGAAGAATCCCGTACAGTAGTTTCCATATCCTGCCCAAGTTCATCACTATAGTTGCAATCAACTCAATACGTTGGAACCGCCAGAGGGAAGGTTCTGCTGTACCTCAAGACTCTAGACCTACAACCCTAAGTTGAAAACCTACACCTGAAACCTGTGTTGCAGCACACCGCAGGTCACTCGTCTGTTCAAAGGACGACCCACAGACTTGGGGGGCGATAAGCAGCTTCTGGAGCCACTCGAGTTGCAACAAGCACGGCGAGTTGGTAAAAGGGCTCAGGGTTTAGCGGGGTCTGGGTTGCGGGGGGTGGCGGTGGTGGCAGCAGTGGCGGTGTTGGTGGCGGTGGCGGAAGCGGCGGTGGTGGTCATGGTAGCAGCACCAGCAGTAGTAGTCGTATAGCAGCGGTAGTAGCAGGTGCAATATGAGAACTGCTAGCAGCATTCCTCGTAGCACCAGCAAGTCTACGAGTAGTAGTATAGTAGTACTATAACTATAGTAGTAGTTCGTAGTAGTCCTCGTCGTCCTCTTCGTGTTGTCCTCGCCGTCCTCCTCGTCGTTGTAGTCATAGTCGTACTCGAAGTAGTATTAGGAGGAGTAGTAGTAGTAGCATCAGCAGTAGCATCAGCAG